ACTACAACTTATAGTTGTAGACCTGCTCTTTCTACAAGATCACGGTGAGCTAGACTCGATTTGACAGCCCTCAACTACCTTTCAGGGGCTCATGGCTGAACAAAGCACAACCTTGGGAGTGAGTGTACCCTGCCCCACCCTGACTCTGTGTGTGTTGGTGGGGTGGGGAGGTGGTAGTAGTAGCATATGATTGTGCATGTGGGTCCTCACTGAATGCAGAACTGGGATTTTCTGGGAGATTTTTATTTCAGCTCATGGAATTACTTTATCCCTAGATGGCAAAGCATATATACCATATATACTCAAGTATAAGCTGACTCAAGTATTCTGTCAAGTATAAATTTTCAAATTAAAATTCCGGGTCAGCTTATATTCAAGTGTATACGGTATTTATAATTGTAAGTCGTGAGCTCTGGATGCATGCAACTTTCACTAGGTAATGTGAGCTGTCAGGAGTACACCAGTTTAAATATCTACATCTATAAGATACATATTAAGCTATACTTATCTCAAAGTATAGCTATATGTCCTTCAAGGACCCCTGGTGGCACTGTCGGTTGCACTGCTAAAGGCAAGTTCAGTCGTTCAAACCCACGAACTGCCTCTCGGAACAAGATGAGGCTCTCTGCCCTTGTCAAGAATTACTGCCTCGGACACACTCTATGGGGTGACTGTGAATCAGGATCGACACTATGGCAGTGGGATGAACACAAGATACATACACACCATTTCAGAGAAAATGCCAAAAGAAAAGAAGAACAAAGGTACAGCCTGTATATCAATCACTGTGACCTCATTATAATGTCAGCAAGTCACCGAGTGGACTGTACCTTGCACAAGTCTCTCTAAGGCATCCTTTCCTTCTCTCAGCCCCACCCACCCACCACCCAGCCCCCACTGACAGCTTCCTCCGCTGGCCAACCTCTTCGTGCCCCTGCTGCCCAGCAATTCTTCCTGCAGCTGGAGTGAATTCTTAAAAACCTTCCAGTCAGATCTCATCACTCCTTTGTTTCTTATTCTCTTGGAATAAAACACCAAAGCTGAGTGTGACCCACAAGCAGGTGGTCCCAGCCCAGTTACAGTTTTCAGGCCAGAAGCTACCAATCCTCCCACTGTGGGCTCTCTTCTCAAACCTGCTCCCCCTCCCCGAGTTCATTCTAGCGTTCTCCCTCCCTCTCTCTCCCACCGCCATCGGCAGACCTTGACTCATAGCAAACTTACACAGGGGTTCTTAGACTGTAAATCATCCCTCCCACATGGAGTGGCTGGTGGGTTAGAACCACCAAACTTGTGGTTAGCAGCCCAATGCCACCAGGGCGCCTGCATTTAATTAATTTATTTATTTCCCGTCTCTCTGCCATCGAGCGGATGCCAATTCATAGTGGCTCTGTAGGACAGGGTGGAGTTCAGTTAGTGCTCGAGACTGTAACTCTGGATGGGAGTGGAACTCTCCATCTTCCTCCTGAGGAGTGGCTGGTGGAATTGAACTGCTGACCTTGCAGTTCGCAGGCCAACGCAGCACCACTACAGCACTAGGGCTCTTTTCGGCATAGTTAAGTAGAATTCTTTTCTTTTGACTCAACTCAACTCACTTTCATGGAGTCGATGCCGACTCAAAGCAACCCTGTCACACAGGGTAGAGCTGCCCCGGTGGGTTTCGGAGACGAACTCTTCACAGGAACAGAAAGCTCCATCTGTCTCCCTCAGAGAGGCTGGCAGTTTTGAGCTGCTGACCTTGGGTTAACGGCCCAATGTCCTATATATGCCATTAGGGTTCCTCTGTTCTTTCTAAACACCTGCCCTCTCAAAGTGCTTCACATGTAGAATTCAGTGACATGCATTATGTTCAGGGTGCTATTCGACTCTATCTGCTATCCATTTCCAAATGTTTCAATGACCCAGAGCGGAAGTTCAGTGGATCCTAAGCAAGGAATCCCTTCTCCCCCTTCCGCCCACCTGCCCTGAATCACCACTATTGACCTTTGGATTTCAGGACAACTCTTGTCCACACTCTTTGCTGCATTAACTTCTAATCCTCTTTCCAATCTTGGCCCAAATAGCCCTTCCTGCAAGTTCCTCAGCAAGGAGGCCTAACCCCACCTGTGTACGCCACCCAGGCCCTATCCTCTTCAGAACACACCAGTTGGAGTGCTTATCTCCTATTTCTGCTGCGTCTCACACGGATATCCCCCTGACTCCACAAGGCCTGGACCTGGGCCCAGACTCTGAAATACGAGCGCACCTCCTCCGGCCGTTCATTACTATGCAGCAGGCTTTCTTCCTCTGGCCTCAGACCCTTTGTGCAGCTTCAGCCTGATCGCAGTTTGTCCTGCTTTTGGTTTTTAAAGCCCTTGTAATTGGAAGTGATAAAACTTGCCTTGAATGCACCAGGTCACAGATTTAAAATTTTATCTTAACGTGGCAAATTATCTCTGGGTCATCAGTTCAATCAGGAGTTTCATTTCACACTTCGGATGGCTGTAAGTCACAGGACATCTGCACAGGCATCTACCTAGCAATCCACTGAGGTCACTGGGCATTCCCGAGGCAGGAGCTGTATCCCTAAGCCGGTGCTGGCTCTTGGCTGCCTTCCAAGCTAGCCTGTTACACCCCTCCAGCCCACTGCAGCCACCCCTGCCACTGAGCCTGGAGCCTGGGCTCCCGGCAGAACCATGAGTTGCTGGTGGGCTAGCAGAGGCAGGAGACGTCTGGGGAGCAGCTTGGTGGCCCCATCCGGCAGGAAGCACCTGCATGGAGATGCCTTTCCTTTGGCATGTTTTGGAGCCTGGACCCTTCCCAACCCAGCAAGTGCCCGCCAGGTGCATCCCAAGGAACTTTGTTAGGAGATCACAGCATAAACTCAAGGAAGCAGAATTGCGTGGAGACCCTTCTCAGCTTTGGGGAGTCCCTGAGTGGTGCTGAAGGCTGCTAATGGAAAGGTTGATTGTTGAGGGTCCATTCAGAGGAACTTCTGAAGAAAATCAGCCACTGCAGGGCCACAGATCACACTTCTTTGACACACATGGGGGCGCTACGAGTCAGCGTTGACTCAAAGGCTTTCCCAGCGTTCTCTTCCCTAATGGAAGGCAGGTCTCCCTTCTCTTCTTCCCCTTCAGGCTGGAGAGACTCGGGTAAGGGTGGCTTGTGACCCTGCCTGGTCTGGGGCCACTAACGAATTGAAAGTGGGGCTTTGAATCTCTCTGGGTGACACATGACATTGTCCTGGCCCTGTCACCTTGGGCAGCACACAGACCTCTCTCTGTCTCAGTTCTCTTGTATCTCAGTCTCACCAGTGCTGACTGCTGGGTGTTGTGGGGGAGTGGGGAATAACACAAAAAACCAAAGCAAATCTCTATTTTCCCTTTTTTTTTTAGAGCCCTCCCCACCCCAACCCCCACTGATTGCAAATCTCTATTCTTAGGGGTTTTGTTAATGGCAAAAAAAAATTGGAAATACAGAGTAGTGACATAGTGTTCAGTATCATGGTGAATATGATTGTCACTGAATTGTTCACAGAAAATGGTGGAGATGGCAGATAATTCATTACATAAATTTCACTACAACAAACAAGTTTTTAAAGCAAAACACAAATACTACCTTTGCTCTCAATAATCTCAGCCCTTAATCTATTACACAAATCATTGTGGGTTATGCT